GGGTCAGAACCGCTCATTCCGGGCCAGAGCCGCTCATTCCGGGTCAGAACCGCTCATTCCGGGCCAGAGCCGCTCATTCCGGTCCGTTCTGAGAAAAACTTGCCTGGTAAGGAGCTGACGGGGAACCGCTGTTTGGGCCTCATGGCTGCAGAATCCGTGTTTTCTGACAAACAAACAAGAAAACGGATCAGAACCGATTCAGCCGGGTGTGGCGGCGCAATCGGATCGGATCGGGTCGGTTCTTACGTTTCCCTTTGAGCTGCTTGGGATTCCTGAAGACGAAGCGGTCCAGGAACCGGATGAGGGTGAAGTCCTGCAGCGGGTCACCTGAGTACTGGACCGGTTCTCCCTGAGGAGCAGAACACGCTGAAGGCCCAGCAGAACCTCCTCTGGAGGCGCAAACGGACCGCCACTTACCTGCAGGATGGTTCTGGCGAACAGGGACACGGACGGGTGGAAGTGCAGAGCCAGCTGCAGACAGAAACGGGTCAGAACATTTTACAGCCTGAGAGTCAGTCGGGTCGGTTCTGTTCTCACCCTGTGCAGCTCCCAGAGCGTGGAGCGGTCGGCGCCGCAGAACAGCGGGTTTCTGTGCAGCGGGTCGTAGCCCTCAGAGCTCCGCCCTGTACGGAAAGTTCTGCCGTTAAAGCGGGTCGATCCGGTTCTCTGCTTCTAAACGGAACCAGGACCAGAGTCCAGACCGGATCACAAACCTTCCAGGTTCTGGTGGTGGACCCATGATGATGCGGGCCGGTTCTGAGGTTCTGCCTCGCAGACTCCTTCCTCCACAATCCGCTCCTCTTCATCTTCATCATCTTCCTTTAGGTCCCTGAACTCCTCCTCTTCCTCCGCCCCGTTCTGACGGAACCAAACAGAACCAGAACCCAAAAAACATCATCAGGAGGTAAAATCAGAGACGTTTACTAAAATCTGACCGGTTCTGACCGGTTCAGACCCAATCTAACCGGTTCTGAGCCGTTCAGACCCAATATAACCGTTTCTGACCCGATCAGACCGGTCGGTTCTGACCGTTCAGACCCGTTCTGATTTATATTCTAAATGGGCTCCTTTTCTCTCCGGTCCAAACAGAACCGGGCTTCCTCACCTCTCCCTGGTCCAGCAGAACTCGGAGGCCCGGTTTGGCCTTCATCACCTCGGACACCAGGAAGAGCGCCCCGCAGGCGAAGCTGGCGCCCTGCTCGGCGCCGACCTGCAGCAGCCGCTTGATGAAGGCTTTGACGCGCCGCGGCGCCACGTCCGCCTTCAGCGCCTTGTACAGCAGGTTGAGGAACATGTTCTGGCGGGACGAACCCGACAGACCCGGATCCAGCAGCTTCCTGTAAGGGAAGCACAGATTCCTGGCGTCAGGTTCCGGATCCGATCGGATCGGATCTCCGAGCTCTGCGGATGGAAACCCTCCTACCTGTACAGCGCCACGTAGAAGCGGTCCGACACGCTCTGCTGCGAGTCCAGGACCTGGAAGAGCAGCATGAGCGCCTGAACGGCCGTGTTGAACTTGGCCAGGTGGACGACCCGGAACAGCGTGTCCAGCTGCTCCTTCACCTTCTCGTCGCCGGCGGCGGCGTACGGGTACGCCCGGTTGACGCCGGACAGCAGCGCGCTCAGCATCTTGGACTCCACGTCCTTCTTCTTGACGCAGGCGCGGAAGAAGGAGAAGTAGACGGCGATGAGCTTGGAGGCGAGCGGCGCCTCCTCGTGGTTCAGCGCCACCTGGCTGAGGAAGCAGACGGCGTAGTACTGGGCCTTGGCGCCGATGTTGGGCCGGAACATGAGGCGCTCCACCTCGCAGCACACCACGGCCTTCATGTTGGGGTGGCGGTGCAGCAGCGTCTCCAGCAGGTGCGCCGCCTTGGCCGCCATCTTATAGTCGGGGTCTCCCAGCTTGTTGACCAGCTGGCTCAGCAGCGCCCTCTCCTGCTCGGGGCGGCCCAACAGCAGCTCGTGGGCCGCCGCCAGCGCCTTGGCCTTGGTGGCCGCCACGGTGTCGTGGGCGACCACGTCCAGCGCCGCCACGAACTCGGCCACATGATGCTTCAGCTGGTGCTCGAAGTACCAGAGGATGAGGCGCCGGTCGCGGGCGTCGCGGTTGCCGCTCGCCCGCTCCTCCAGCTGGTCGAAGGGGTGCTGGGCGAAGGGGCGGAGCTTCCTGTCCTCCGGCAGGAGGTTGGACAGCAGCAGCTCCCGCATCGTGTCCAGCGCCATCAGGCCCATCCGCCGGCTGCCCTTCTTCTTCACCATGGAAACCAGGGTCTCCACGTGATCCAGCATGTGGACCGGAGCGTCCTGGATCAGCAGCGTCATGGCCGCCATCCTGTCTGCCAGCACGCCGGAGGACACCACCGTCTTGATCCAGGTGGAGTTGGCTCCTTTCTGCAGGTTCTTCTTGGTTCTGTAGAGCTGCACTTCGGACTCGAACAGCTGCTGAGCCAGCGCCTTGTAGCGGGACACCAGCGCGCCGTCCTGCGGCGCCTCCGATCCCTCCGAGGCGTACTCCAGCTCAAACCACTTCCCGCCGGGTTTGATGAGCAGAACCTGCCGCGGCTGGAACTCAAACACGTTCAGGTTCTGCTTGGACTTTTTCCCAGCTGGGAGCTGGCCATCTTCCTTCTTCTTCTGTTTTTTAATCTTAGCGGCGGACTCTTGATCAGCCGCCGGCGTAGCGGTGACCTTTTTGCTGTTTTTTTCCTGCTGCGCGGCGCCGCCGCCCTCCTGGTCGTCTGGGACACTCAGCCCGGCGTGGCCTCGGATTCCCAGCTTGGTGATGAACTTTTCCAGCTCCCCCTCCTCCAGGTCGTCGATGGCGCCCTTCATTCCTCCATCCACGAGCTCGGCGGAGTCGTCCAGGGCCGCCAGGAGGACGTAATCTGCCTGCAGACAGAGAAAAGGGTTTAGAGAGCCCATGTTCGTTGTTTTCCACCAATCATTTCTCATTTCCTTATTTTAACAGCTTCATCCCTCCTTCCTCTGCCCATCCTGACAGAACCAGAATCCTTTCTTATTAAATGTTTTCACAGAAACACTCCTCCTCCACAGACTGATGACTTTAGCTCCAATTTCTGTTAAACAATGATTATAAAACCTTAGCAAATAGAATTAAATCAGTTAGAGATTCAATCATTGGTAAATGCTCCGTACTTGGAGGTAGATTTTGTTCCTTATGTTGCTTCTGTTTGTTTTATATCTTGTATTTTCTTCGACTTATAAAATGTTTTCTCTGAACTATTTGCAAAGCATAAAAATACTAGATGATAATAAACTGTTTTCCAGATTCATTTATAGATCAGCATCTCATAGAGCAGGACTTCCAGATCCGTCCTCCTGCAGAACCATAGAGCTTCACTGATGAAAATCAGTTCCTTTAGCGGTGAATGGATGGATGAATGACTGAGTGAATCACTGAGTGAATGGCTGAGTAAATAACTGGGTGAATGGATGAGTGAAAGCCTGAGTGAATAACTGAATCCCTGAGTGAATGAGTGAATGGATGACTGAGTAATTGAATGAATCACTGAGTAAAAGACTGAGTGAATGGATGACTGTAAGTGAAGTGGGTTAATAACTGAGTGTTGTAAATGGTGCTGGCCGGGATCCCTGATGGATTCCTTCCAAACACCCGGATAACTTTCCGCTCCGGTTTGGACCGGAACCAGAACCGAACCATAAACTATCAGAACCGCCGCCATGATTCCGGACCGACAGCAGCGGGTCGGTCAAGATGAAAAGCTGCTTTAGTTTGGTTCTAGCTGCCAATCATGAAGATCTGAAGGTTTCCTCAAACCGGAACGAACCGGAACCAGAACCTCTGACTAACCTGGGTTCCTCCGAGCCGCAGAACCTCCTCCAGCCTGAACTCCTCTCCTCCTGCGGCCTCCTCCGGCTCGCTGTTCTCCTCCTGCTGGGACTCATCGGAGCTCCTTTCGTCCGCCATGCTGACTGCTCCGGCGTGGAGAGGAGGCCGGAAGTAGACAAACAGACGGAGACTCTACCTGAAGCAGCGCCCCCACCGGCCTGGAAGGGAACTGCAGCACAGAAAATAAACATTGTAGTGAGGATAAAACCCTCTGATTCATTTCATTAATGATTGGACACAATATTTATTATTTAACTTCCCACTTTCATGACTAACCCTTTATCTCCAACACACAATCTAAACCTAACCTAACCTCCCGTCACAAAAACAGTTTTTTCCCATCTGCTATCGGCCTTATCAACAAGGCCAAGATCCGCCCGTGACACTGGACAATGTTTCTCTCCCCCATTCAGGATTTCTGCGTTACATTAACGCACAGTCTACTGTTTGTATATAGCTTCTGTGTATATATATATATATATATATATATATATATATATATATATATATATATATATAT